TATATATATATATATATATATATATATATATATATATGCAACGAAATTTATATATGCAATAGAATTTCGGATACTATCTAGGTTTGACGAATTTATAATTTATCCTTTTGAAACCTGAGGATGTGCTTCAGAGTCATCCGGCAGTTTACGAAATTGCTGTAATGCGTGTACATAGTGACATCTTTGAAGAATGTCCGTTAGCTTTTGTATTGAAAATTTGTGAGATTGTGAGGAAAAAATAATAAAGACACTATTTTCCAAAATTTTTAGTAACAATGTCACCATTTAAATATTTACGAAACAGAATTTATTCGATTTCTGTTGTTAATTTACCAACAAGTTATGTTAGCAGGCCCTATTCGATTTCTGCTGCATTTTTGCCGTCACATCATGACGGCACACTGTGCTCAATTTCTGCTGCGTTTTTGCTGTCAGTATCTGATATGGCAACAAACTTTGCACGATGTCTGTTTCATATCTGCTGCCACAATAAGATTACAAGCAATGCTCGATATTTATCGCATTTCGCTTTCTCTCCGCGCTTTCTTATTTGTATAACTTTAATATTTAATAACTTTTTTAAAATTAAAATTATTGCGAATATCGCAAAATTGTGATAAGATATTTTCGATTATCTCGCTCCCGTTTCACCTTCTCACGAGCGGTGTTACACATGCTACGGGACACCCTGTATATGTACATAGATATAGTTTTTCTAATTTTTTTCATATGTCATATTTAAGTATTTGTACTAGGATTACATAAAAATTTGAAATTAAATTTAAATTTTATTGATATTGATAATGTTGAAAAGAAAACTTGTATTTAATTTTAAAATTTAAAATACGAACATAAATTTAAAATCTAATTAAATTTATTTTAGTATTAGAAAAAAATTACGAAAAAGTAACAAATCCTTACGTTTCAAGTATCGGTAACGGTAATATATTACCGTTGTAACGGTAATGTTACACGTTTATTTTTTTGAAATAACGTTTCTATCCCTGGTTATATATATTTCATATTAAAGAAAACTACATTCCATGTGTACTCAAGAATATGATTTTATCGCTGAATCTTATCACAATTGCGTTCATGTAAATGTAATTATGATTAATCAAATATCATTTGTCAGTATAAAAATCATATTAATTTAAATGATTAAATATATATTCAAGAACATTTCTTAATTTGAACAAATATAAAGATAATAGGATTTATGATTAAAGATACCAAAATCAATGGTGAAGTACAAGTTTCATCATTGATCTGTTCCAATGGAATAATAGGCCAATTAATTTAATCAGACATAATGAGACTGACCTAGGACACTAACAATAAAATGAGTACATAAACATGTTATTTAACATTTCTAATATTTTTCTTGCGAAAATAATTTTTGAAAAAGCATTAAGAAAGTTACAAAAATTCGTTACTGTAAAAGTGTAATGACGTTATCATTATAGACGGAAAAACGTAATGATCATTACCAAAAAAAGTAACGAAAGTGATAATGGCGGTTACAAGTAATGCATTATTTCCCAGTCTTATATATAGAGTGTCCCAATGGGAACTATTTTTGTGTGTGTAGATAAAACGGGCTAAACCGAGTCGAAAAGTCCTCTACCAATTTGCAATAGTTAAGCGGGTATAGCCAATATATTGAAGAAAACAATTCCTCGCGCCCCTAGTAATGATGATCTTTGGGCGGAAGTATCTTATCGCGCGCTTGCATTTGCCTGTGGCCCGAGTTAATATGGTGCTTTTTAAGAATTAATAATTCATTAACTATTGTGAAAATTGTACAGGACTTTTCGACGCAGTTTAGCCCCCTCTGTCTATACACGAAAATAGTCCCCATTGCTCTGGGACACCCTGTAGCTATATTATCTATTTAAACGATGCAAACATTTTTATCTTTAAACACTTTTCAAAGTTGTTAAAAGAGAAATATATGAATATTGTATTATATTATGAAAAGTGGCTTCATTATACTTACAAATATTTAAGGTCCTCGATAGTGTTCTTATAGATAAGATAGTGTTCTTATAGATAAGCTAGTATTCTTATAAATGCGAGAGCACTTATGTTACTCAGAATACTTATGTTACTAAGCACTTATGTTACTAAGAATAATACTATATGATATAACATCAGCTACATAAATTGGACATGTTATTTAATATTTCTAATATTTTTCTTGCAAAAATATTAATTTTTGAAAGCAATAACAAAGTTACAATTGTAAAAACAATTTTTACACAAACAGATATATAAATATTCTATTACAGTTGTGAAAATTAAGACTAAAGAAAAGAGTGCATAAAATTAAATAGATCTTAAACAATTGGAAGCTCTTTTTAAAGAATGCATCAGTTTAGGAGAGCTGCTCTTTGAGAAATTGACAAACAATTCGAATATTATTAGACAGGTATGTGAATATAAAAAATTATTATTTTAAGAAAATACGCCATGTGCATGCGCAGTATGTACATGAAAACTTGTTATAAAAGCATGTGTTATTTTTATATAAAACAGATATTTCAAAATTTCGTTCCGAAGAAAATTTTACAAATTCTTTGCTCACCAAAATTTGACATATTTTCAATTTCTTTGAGAAAGTTAATATGGAAAACATAGTGTCAATTCCATCTTTGACTGGAAATACAATACCTAAGGTAAATGATGATATAAAATTTTATTTTAAAGAAATTTAAAAATATTATCGTAAAAAATTGAGTTCTTTAAAATATCTCTGGATTGCAGTATTTATCACGATGCAAAATTGTGAACAATGTAGTAATTGGCGAGGAAGCGCCTCTTTTTAAAGAATGCATCAGTTTAGGAGAGCTGCTCTTTGAGAAATTGACAAACAATTCGAATATTATTGGACAGGTATGTGAATATAAAAAATTATTATTTTAAGAAAATACGCCATGTGCATGCGCAGTATGTACGTGACAACTTGTTATAAAAGCATGTGTTATTTTTATACTAAACAGATATTTCAAAATTTCGTTCCGAAGACAAAATTCCGAAGACAATTTTATGCAAATTCTTTGCTCATCAAAATTTGACATATTAAAAATCGCCGAAATATATTTTTTCTCAGTCGCAAAACAAGCATTTATTTATAAATTAAGAAAGATAATGAAGTGAAATTTTAGGCAGAGATTAGAAATAATCCAACTAATCTAAAAAAAAATATTTCTTCGACACGTTAGAAATGCGGGCTTAAATGAGCTAATCCCGATATTTTCATATCACAATAGTATATTCTTCTTATATATATATATATATATATACGAGGGTAATCTGTAAAAGTTTTGAGCCTAACATAGAAACAAGTTATTTTTTCGGTACAAATATTAGTTTTTATTTTTCAACATAATCTCCTAGTTTTATTTTTCAACATAATC